TCCAGCCCCGCTTATACGCAGTTGCGGCTTGGTATCTATAAACCCCTACAAAACCCCAGACATGAAGCGTGTGCAGCAAGCCCAATAAACCCCAAACTCTAGCAAATTCAAAATTTCAAAAGCAAAAGATGCGTCCGTATGCTCCCTTTCAACGCCATGAAAGCCATGAAAACAAACAAGCCACCACCTCCCCTTCCCACCATCTCGGGCTAACCCCTAGCCAAACTCAACAACCCCCCCACAGCCTCCAACCCCCTATTATCCCCCTCTTCCCTCGGCAACCTAGGCAGTTCCAACTCCTCCCCCTCCCCCTCCGTCTCCTCCCCCCTGTCTTCCTGCGATAGTTGCTGCTGCTGCTGCTGCTGCTGCTGCTGCTGTTGTTGTTGTTGTTGTTGTTGTTGTTGTTGTTGTCTCTCCGCCTCCCTCCGTCTCATGACCTCCCACAACCCCTCCCTCCAATTTTCCTTCTCTTCCACAACCCCCGTCCCACTGCTCCTCCTCTGATGATGCGTCCCCCTGGACGTCGACGGCGGTAACATCTGCTGCGAACCACATCTCTGATGCTGTTGCTGCGACGACCTCTCACCCCCCTGCTCCCTCACCCTCCCCTCCCCACCCCAAAGCCTCACCATCAGCCTCCTCTCCAACTGATCCAACGAAACATCCTCCTGCCCCGTCCTCACCTTGTAATTCGCCAACCCAAGCCTCAGCCGTAAGATTTCCGCTTTCTTCATCACACCATTAGCTGATTCGCCCAACAACAACCAAAAAAGGATTACTGGACAAAAAAAATACCTGACGAGCCTGTTCACGCGTCAAACTTCTCCTCTGCACCGATACCGATGCCGATGCCGATACCGATGCCGGTGCTGGTGCAGGTGTTGAATCAGGAATGGTGGTAACCATCGAGACATCCCCCTCACCCTCCTCGAGGAGGAGGAGGTGGTGGTGGTGGTGCGGGCTGGAAAACACCGACGACGCTGACCCTGCTGATGCGGGCGGTGATGAGGAGTACTACGTCTGTCAACAACCGGAAAATTATGGAAAGGTGGGGAGGGACATACGCTTAACCTAGCTTTCTTTACCACCCTCTCCTCTTCCGCCACTGCCCTCGAAGCTGTGGGCGAGGAATCGACTGTTCCAATCCCAGACAACGCCCTCTTCTTGACCCCCGTCTCGGGCGGCGTACGTGTTTGCATCATCTTCGTCTGTGACTCGAACGGGCTTTGCAGCATCCTCTTCTTTGTTGGCGAAGACGCGTTGTTGGGATTCAAAGAGCTGAGTGGGACGCGGGGGGTTTGGGTTTGGGCTTGGGTTTGGGTTTGGGTTTGTGTGGTGGCGTCCATTGCTATCACCAATCTTTTCTCCCGAGTAAAGTATTGAAAGCAAAATCGCGTCCAAATCCCTTTAACGCGTCTTGTATCTGTTGAGAAAAGGAAAGGGAAAAACAGGAACGAGATCAAAAGGTAAATAAGTAGGACGTGAGTGAGAGGGGCACAAAAGTCGCGTCCAAAAACCACACCAGTCGCGGTTTGAAGCTTGTGGATGGTAGGTGGGTGCTGAAGAACAATGTGAGCTATAAGGTGTAGGTACCTACACTAGTGAGCCCCTGTCCCTCGAAAGCTAACGAAAACCCCACTGTGCGGCGCCTAAAGAGAAGCTTCGGGTACCTACCTACCTAGGAGGGTACGTACCTCTTGTCTTTGGTGTGACAAAAAGCTCGTCGCGTTCAAGAACTGAGATTACTGTTGAGGAAAAAAGCCTTGTCAGGCAGCAGTTTATTCAGTTCCCCTTTCACTGCCATCCACACACCGAATACAATAACCTGTTCACATCTCATTCTCCACGTCAACTAAAAGACCCCAGTCCTTGGCACCCAGCCCACAGTGGATCATCGCGTCTTCCTGCATGGATTGGCGCGCTCCCGTCTCTACTCCCGATGCCCCCGCAGCAGCAAGCATCATCAATGTGAACCTGGCCAGAGCTTCAACACATGCCAAACAAATTGTCATATGGTGTGATACTTTTGATCTCTCATTCAATGTCCCCCCAAAACCCCCCTTTTACTAGTATAATATACAATTCGTATACATCCAATAAATCCACCCAAAATACATCCATCCATCTTTCTTCAACCTCGATGCAAAAAAAAAAACAAGAAAAAAAAAACAAGAGACAAACTGGGAAAAAAAGAAAAAAAGAAAAAGAGAAAAAAAAGAAAGCAAGTTCACGGGGGGTATCACCCTATCTGCCTGACCTGAGAAACCGTCCATTCGACCCGCGAGACACAGAGAGAACAAAAAAAAATAAGAAATATAGAATGCTTCCGTATAGCCCAATCCACACAATTACCAAACTCCCTCCCTGCCCCGAAAACAAAACCGCAGCAACACTCATATAAAGAGACGCTGAGAGAAAGAGAGACAAGGAAAAAATATAGAAAAGAGGTATTACACTACCCTTCTCGTGAATGCCCAGACCAACCCTGCTAGCTTTTCCCATATACCATGTACCCATGCACATTATATATATAAAACTGCCACTCCGCTTTATCATCATAATCATCACCTAGGTATCCAGAACCTAAACCGATGCATCCATCATGTACCCGCTGTTGTCAAACTGAAACGGCTTGCTAAAGTCGTTCCCCATCGTCATGTCTTCAAAGGTGAACTGGTACGCCTCCTGCCCGCCGCCAAAACCACCACCCGGGCCGTACAGGTCGCTGTCCACCAAACTATCCAGCGAATCCATGTTGATCCTGTTCATGTCCATCAGCACATCCTCGTTGAAGTTCTGGAACGTCAAGTTGATATCCAGCCCGGTGCCCTCGAGGATGTCGCTGTTCGGCTCCGAAACCCCGCTGTCCTTGCTGGCCGTCGACTCGGGCGTGTCGTTGGGCGTGATCGATCGGTACGTCCCAAACTCGTGCATCATGTTGCCCGTGGTCGCGTCTATCGTGGGCCCCAACCCGGCAAACAGATTCTGCGGGTCGATCGTCGTGCCCGCCCACATCTCGTCCACCGGCGCCATGGGCGTGCTCGCCGCCATCCGTGGTGTCGCCGTACTCTCCCGTCCTCCCGCGGCACTGCCCTGTCGTCTCATCGACGCGTCGCGAGACATGGGCGTCGCCGCCAGATCAGGCTTGCTCATGGGTGTCTGGCCTTGCTTGGAAAGACTGCCACCCATGGCCGGCGCCGAGACGGGCCTGCCCTGTTCGTCAAGCTTCAGTGCCGCAGCCATGTTCTCCCGCATGAAGGCGACAGGATCTTGGAATGGCCGGATGTGCTCCTCCTGCTTGTGCATGCCAAGCGCTTCCTCGCTCTCAAAACCCACAGACATTTGCTCGCAACCGGGTTCGGGACACATGAATGTGGGTGCCGTCTTGGCCGGCTCCTGCTTCCGGCTGACAACGGGAGAGGGCGCCTTGACGTTGGGCGACAGGGAGCCAGTGCCCGGCTGAATGGCCGGCGGCGAGCTGTGGTTTGCTCCCGTCTTGGGCTTCTTCCTGGCAGGTGGTGCCTGGAGCCCGTCCCGTGTGAGAAGCGGCTCGCTCAGGTATTCCGGATTGCCGGCCGGCGACTTGTGAGCCCCAAACGAGAAAGGCGGCTGCGTGGTCGTCGGAGCGGCCGGGGCGGCAACGTTCTTCGCGGCCGTGCGGTTCTGCGCCTGCTTCAACGCCTGTGTCTGCTTCTCCAGATTGGCTTGGCTCAGAGGCGTGGGTGCTTGCGCGGGCCGCTGGGTTGGCGTCCCGCCGTTCGCCTGACTCCAGCTATTTTGCAGACCAAGCGAGGGTACGCAATAGGTCTTGATGTCAGTGGCCATGTTCTTCAGCATCTGCTGGATCTGGTCGAGTTCCTGGGGCGAAATGGTGAGGACGGGCCGCAAGATGGTTGACGGCTGTGATGCGTCCTTGTTTGGAACGAGCTGCCTGTAAAGTTTGTGCCGCTACACGACATGTCAGTCAGCCTCCCGTGATGCAGAGACTCGATCCGGATATACGTACTGCTCGAAGGAAAATCCTCAGACGTTCCTCGTCCTTGGTCTTGAAGAACCATGCCTGCGACCACGCGCTTACACCTCTCATGGTGCTCAATGCTCCCAGGAGCGTCCTGCGGGTTTTCCCCAATAGTTCTGCGTCCATGGGCACCGGCACCTCGTTCTGCCCTTGGGCCAATAGCTGTTCTTCCGTGGTGATGGCCGTGATGCGCTGATGAAGTCGCAAGGTGGCATCATACTCGGCCCTTTCCTGCGGCCCCAGGGCCGCAACCTGTTCCTCAGGAAGCGGCTTGAACGGTGGGGGTGCACGGATATTGGTCTGAGCTCCAGGTCCCGGCGCTGGTCGTTGAGCGGCATTGTTCGCTTGAGCCGCACCTTCGGAATCGTCCGGCTTTCGCTTGAGGTTGTGCCTGGGGGCGGGCACGGGGGAAGGGTTCGGTCCATGTTGCCCCGGCTGTTGCTGTGACTGCGGCGCCGGCTGTGACTGCTGTTGAGGTTGTGGTTGTTGAGGAATCTTGGGCGTCTGTCTGGCCGGCGTGGATGCTGGAGGAGCCACCGGGGTACTCGAGGGCTTTGGCGGCATGTTCGGCTGAGCCATCGGAGGGGCACCTGGTTGTGTGGTGGGTGTTGGGGGTACTATCTGTGACGGAGCCTTTTGGCCGCCAGCATTGGCATTGTTGATTCCCTGCTGCTGCTTGTTGTGCTTCTCCCAGATCTTCTTGGCGTAGTCGGTGTACTTCAATCTTCTGAGTATCTCCGAGACCATGGCCGGGTTCTGGTTCGCATGATTGGCACTCCTGCTCATGAATGCCTGGACCTCTTGCGGGGTCAGCTGGGCGACGTGCGGGGGGTATTCCTCGCCGGGGGGCAGCTGGGGCGGCTGGAAAGGAGCGCCGGGGTTGCCTTGGGGTTGGTTTGCTTGCTGCCTCTTCTGTTGTTGGTTCCACATTACTGCGAACTGCCTGTGCTGGACGGCCTGCAACATGTTCAGTTGCGCCGGGTTGTTGACTGCCAGGGCCTTGAGCTGAAACCATTTCTTAATGTTTGGCCCCACATTCGTTCCGTTGTTCGCAAGCATGCCGAAAACACCAGGCGCTATGTCCATGTTGTCGATGGCCGTCTTGCCGTGTGGGGTTTGCAAGTATTCCAACATCTTGGCCTGCACTGCCGGGTTTGGTGGCCCGTTCGGTCCCGGTCCCTGATTCGCCATGTTCATCTGGCCGGCTCGGAGTTGTTCCGGTGCCCCGGGCATCTGGCCAGGTGTGCCCATCGACAAACCACTCATCATGGCCGCCCGTTGCTGCTGATTCCAGTTGCCCATTGCTCCTTCGGGTATTCCTCGACCTCCGGCCAGCGCCGCGCCGTTCATGACACCTGGCATCGCCGAGGGCGGTCGTGTGTTGTTCTGATGGCTGAATTGCGGGTTCAAGCTGCCCATGGCCGGGTTACCTGGGTTAACGGGCGGTTGTCTCCCCACATGCCCCATCGGAACGGGCGGCTGCTGCATCGGCGCGTTCAACGTGTTCATGGCTGGACTCTGAGACGTGGTAGGGGGCCCGGCGAGACCGCCCGGTTGTCCTTGCATCGGGTGTCCCATCATCGGTCCTCGGGCAACACCAGGCTGCTGAACGCCAAAATTCTGTCCCGCCGGCATTGGTCGAGAAGCTTGGTTCACGCCCGGTTGAGCGCCCGGCATCCCGTTCATCGGGCCTGGCGTAACAGTTCTGGCCTGGCCGTTGCTCGCCGGGACAACCATCTGTCCCTGCTGCTGGGCGAGCAGAGCTTGTTGACGCTCGTTCCGTATAGTTTCGATGTTGGCGCCGAGCATCGGGCCATTCGGCATGACTGGCTGCTGTGCTAGTGGGTTGATCATGAGTTGGTTCGGGTTCATCTGTCCTGGTTGGCCCTGCGGCATTCCGTTGGCCATTCGTTGCTGTCCAAGAGCTTGAGCTTGCCTCTGCCGGCTCGCAGTCATTTGCCGCAGGGCCTCTTGCTGAAAATGCCACACGAGTACATCCCCGTGGAACTGAGCAGCACGCGGGCCCAGGTTCTCCATGATTTTCTGGCGCATTTGGGCTTTCTGGGGTTCGGGAACTTGGCTCATCAGCCTCTGCGCGACCTCGTTGACGGCATTGATCTCATTGGGCTGCAGCTGGCCCATGGGACCCATAGGACGTGCAGGCTGTCCCATCTGCATTCCGAACGGTGGTTGCCCGGGCCTGTTCTGAGGGTTCCCAGCCAAGCCCATACCAAGCTGGGCTTGTGGGGGTCCTTGAGGGACTTGCATCGGGTTTTGCATGCCTGGAAATCCAGGCTGGCCGGTCGGCCCCATTCGAGCAGCAGCCATCTGGTTCATGAGCATCTGTTGCTGCTGATGCTGCTGCTGACGTTGCTGCTGCTGCTGATGATGCTGCTGCTGCTGCTGCTGTTGCTGCTGCTGCTGCTGCAGCTGGTTCTGAAGCTGTTGCGTGTTGCCCTGTCTGCGTGCGACCATCTCGTCGATTTTGCCTTGCAAGGCCCTGTCGTACATGGCCTGGAGAATGTCAAAATACAGTCCGGGCTTCTGCCTAAAAAGAAAAAGAGAAAAATGCAAACGATGCAACGAATATACTGGAAGGGGACGTGTGGCGCTCACCTTATTTTCAGAACTCAGCCAAGCCTTTTTCTCGAAGTCGGTTGCGTGTTGAAAGACAGCGGTGAAATTGCCGGTCGACATGGCAAGTATTACGTTTGTGACGCTGCAGTCCCGTTAGTGACCCAGGCTTGTCATGCACTCAGTTGCATCTCAACCGTCCAGTACTTACAGGTTCAGAGTCTTTCCATATCGCTCGTTATGAGACATGGCACTCTGCCATGTGTTTGGAGCGGCCTCAGGCTGCGTGTTGACAACATAGGCCATGACAAGTTGGTTGATTTGCTGCTGCTGCTGTTGGGATTTGGCTCGCTGCTGCTGCTGTTGCTGCTGCTGAAGCAGCATCATATGGTTGGGAACCATCTGTGGCGGTATGTTGGCGGCCATGGCCGCAGTTGAGTAGTGGAATCAACTCCTTGCTATCCTTTTCTGCAGCGCACCGGGGCGAGAGGGCGAGACAGCTGCGGAGCCAAGCGTCGGCGTGTTGGGATGTTGACCGTGGCGGATTCCCATATACCTGCGGCTTTGATGGCGATGGCAAGCTTCGGCGCGCGTTCAAAGCGGCGGTGTCGCTGGGGCGACAGCGTTTAGGCCTTTGATCAAGATGTCGCCAAACAAATCCCCTCAGTGTGTGTCGACCAAGATCAATTCGGCGCTCGTGGGGCCCACAAATAACAAAATGTCAGTGAGAGAAGTCGAGGGCGACCGAGAGCGCGTGAGCTAGGGTCAGAAACAAAGCTGCTGTTCGTCGTGGTCGTGGTCGTGGTCGTGTCGTGTCGTCGTGGTGAGAGAAGCGGCCCAAAAAAAGAGGTGGAGGACGAGGTTCCGGAGCCGGCACGCAGCACCTAGCAGTTCAGTTGTTGCAATTATTAGACACACACGGTGGTTGAGTGGCCGAGTGGCTAGGTGAGAGCAGTTCCAATACTATGATGAAAAGGTAGGTAATGGAAGAGAGAGAAAAGCTTCAGTGAAGGTTGAGGTTGAGGTTCGGCGACAACGCAACGGTGGTGGGCACGGAAGAAGAGGGAGGCAGGCGGTGGTGTGCCCAGGAGTGGGAATGGAAAGTTGGGAAGGGAGAAAAGAACCTGGAAGGATGGGGATGTGGGGCCTACTACGATGGGCTCTGGCTGCTCTGCCCGCCGGTGTCAGACGCTACTTGGTTGGAGGCGGAACCCCAGGGCAGCCTGTACCAACAGGTACCCTTGGTACTCGCGAGGTACCTTTGGTGCAGGGGTCTCTAGCGCCTGGTGTCTGGCGCTTCTTTTCTTTCTCTCTCTGTCTCTCTGTCTCTCTGTCTCTCTGTCTCTCCTTCTCACTGCCTCTTTTTTTTCAAGACGATAGCTTTCATGTCTATTATTCTTATCCACCTTGGCTTCAAACTGACTAAACGATTGATCACTCCCCGCCACCCGTGAGCAGACAGCAATGACCGCCCGCCCCGGTCGTCCTAGCACGGTGCCACGGTCTTGGCGACAAATTCAATGGAAGCTGATGATGCTCTGCTTCCACCACCAACAAGCGAGGACTCGAAGTAATGAAGTAAACCCTCAACTTTCACTGCCGAGATGGTGACAGTGACAGTGACAGTAAAGGGGTTGGGCCGATCGCAGCGAGAGCCCAGCAACCAAGCACGTCTGGCGGGCGTGGCCGGGGTGGGAGAGCCAAGTACCTCGAGTACCTCAGGTACTCCATCGATACCTCGATGGGAAGAGGGTCTACCTGCCCGCCTACACCACAAACCGTCGGGCGCCCCCCCTGCACCTGGAACCCAAAAGCGACCAGGGGCAGCAGCGCAAGATGAAGACGAGAGAGCGAGTGAGAACAAGCTGCAGTGCTGCCGAGCACATCAGTCCAGTCCCCCAATTCACCGAGAAATTCATCATCTCGCCAGCAGACAGCAGACAGCAACTTGAGCCCAGGGCGGCGGCCGTTCAAGAAAGACAGGCAAATTGAGCCCAGCCCACCTCACCCACCTCACCGCGCACCGTCCGCCAATGAGCCATCAAAAGCCAAATACTCAATCAAGGTGAGTATCTGGTTAGGCCCCCGCGGCCCCCAACCCCAGAGCCTACTGTGTGTGTACAACTCCAGAGATCGATAGATAGGCCTCCTTTTCTGGAACTTTCATGGGCACTACCCGAGTGGGAATTCTTCTTGATGAGCTTTCTATACGACAGAGAAGGCGATGGGCTTGGCCTATGACGGGACCTTGCGTAACTGTTTGGGTCCGAGGTTCAACAACGTGGAATTCCCCTATGGTCTTGAGAGGAACCAAGTGCATGATCAAGGAAACTCGAACGAACACCTCAGCCATTGTCAGATTTCACGCTTCGATTGCGAACTTCTGTCAGATTCGTCTGTCGAGTAGCGATGAGCTGCTGACAAGTGGTCACGTACGCTTGAGTGCAGCGGTATGGGACTGTACAACCAACGGCCTCGCTGTCGCCGTTGGCCAGCATCGGTAGACGGTGGAAAGCATGACCGTCACAGTCATCCGGGCGTGACAAGGCAGGCTCTCCAGACTCTACCGCCTTGCGATGATCGGTCGGTCGTCCGCCGTGCGTTGCCGTGCCCTTGCACCGAGCTCTCCCGCCCGTCGCCCCCGTGCTGCGGCTGCCCTACAAGGCCCCGATAGCGCAAGAGCTCGCTGCGCTCTCGGTGGGCAACCGTGGTTCATCATCTTCTTTCCATACAGCCTTGAGTGCGCACCTACATGGAGTCATGGTGCTGCCCAACTAATGCCTCCCGGCTGTTGAGATCGAAAGAGGAAGTGCCAGGGCCAAGGGCCCGGGCCCAGGATGACCCCCTTGCTCAGCCGCTGCCGCCCACTCTACCAAGCCCGTTTCGGATTCTTGGAGCTCTCTTGGGCTGCTTTTGCTCACGCTTGCTTGCGAGGGAGAGGACGGTGAAGCAAAACCCCGCGTCGGCTTCCTCAGCGTGGGGGAGGGCCTCTGTGAGGATTAAACCTCTCTGATTGAAATAAACAAAGACATTTCGTCGAGGCGAGGTTTGGCATCGAAGCTGGACAATCAAACTCTCTCAGGCCCTCGTGCGCTGGGGTTGGTGGGGACCATGAAAGAGGCGGGTATCCCTCCACCAAAGACTCCGCTGATTAAAAAAAAAACCACAAAGCTTGACGGTGGTCTGTGCACACAAGTCTCGCTGTCTCTCTTCAGACAGGATTCCGACAGCCTGCGCTTGAGGATCTACGAGAGCTAAACTCAATCGACTGGACCAACGTCGAGATCTGAAGCACAACAACTTTCAAAGGCATCTGTCAGTTTCGGTCCATGTGCAGCCATTGACCAGTCTGATACACCGATATCAACTTGAAAATGAAGAAACATGTTTGATTTCCTCTGTTTAATTCGAATTCGAAGCCTCTTGAACCCCCTCCCTCATTTTCTCTCGCTGACAAGGGCTCAAGCCACCATCACAAATAGTGGGGCGATCAAGTGACAAATGACAACGCCATTGTTCACCATTTCAGAGTGACGCTGCATCGTCCACCGTCATTCCGTCCAGCTCCCCTCTCCCAAGCCATATCGCTCTACAATCATCATACGAACGAGAGAGAGAGAGAGAGGACCAAAGCTGCCTATAAAAGGAATCCCCTATTGCATCTCCTCCTACAAACTCCAATCAGTCCCCCATGATCCATCCCCGTTTTTCTCCAACATCCGCAATATATCTCCCCACATAATCACTCTAATAAAACGCACATACATCCTCCCGTTCCCCGCCTCTCTCTGTCTTCCGTGTGTAGCAGAGACCACGAGTTCAAGCAGAATAACCTTTTTTCTTCGCTATAGCATCACCTTGCACAGGTAAGGTTTGTTGGTTCTGTACAACCCGTGTCACAGGTGATTTAGCCTGCCATGACATCTACCACCCCCCCAGACTTTTGGGGTCAGGGACAAAGAAAAAAGTCTCGATCTGTCCAAGCGGTCATGTGAGGTCTCACTTACTCACCTCATCGAGCCTTACTTGTTGTACATTTTCATGAGAACAAGGACAGCAGCAGCTCTTATCTGAACAGCACCTTTTTTCTTAATCAAGCCTACAGGTTTTCATCCCAACCAACTATCCATCCCTTCCTGCACGCTGATCCCCCACGCTTTTTTGTCCTCCTAGATACCCTACCGTAGACAACCCCCCATCTTCATCCCATCCAGGTAGTCGACCCGGAAGACCGGGATCAAGCCAGCTCATCCTCACACGCCTTACCCTCGCGCACAGCCAACTCTCTATAATTCCAAAAACGTCCTCCTCGACTGATAACCTGTAGCTTTTTTTTTGGGGGGGGGGGGGGGGTTTCTTTTTTTTTTTTTTGCGGCGATTCTTGTTGCCAAGAAAAGAGGTGTGCCAGCCTGCAGCGTTGGGACGGAGCTGAAGCGACACCACCACCCACTCAGAGACCGCAGAGACCACACCTATAAAAAAGATATTTTTTGCCACATTGGCTTTTCTATCGAAATAGACAGTGTGGAATGTGGAAGTTGGAATACCTAGAGATTTGCTGGAGAAAGGCGGGAGTAGTTGCCACTGATATTCAGCTACGAGTGCAGAATGGGCCGGAACTTTTAGCTGCAAGGTACGAGGGGGATAAAAGAAAACATGATAAGAATGAAGAGCTGCAAGGTACGGGAGGTGGGTGAAGAATATCTGTAGAGTGTAAAAAATAAATAAATAAAAATGAATGAAAACGTGGTGATCTTTTTGCCTTGGTTCAGAAGTGGCCAACACTGCTGCATCATCATCCTCGCTCATTTCACCACAACCAAAAGGCTACAGTCCCCTTCGCCTCACAAGGTAGCAGCAGCCATCATCATCCCCGGATCTTCCACGACAAACCCTTTCCCATCAGATATGTCGGGTAGCTATGACATTTCCTGGAGAATGTTGCTTTCGACCAAGAGTTGACAACAAGGAGTTGACACAAAATCCTTGTCTGATCGCCCGCCGCCCGCACCCGCCAAGGATCGTCATCGTTTGTGCAGCCCTTCGCTCGATCTGGGAAGGTTGAGCTTGGGCCAAATCCTATTTCCGCTCTCTCTCTCTCTCTCTCTCTCTCTACCTTGATCGGTTCAGAGTGTCTTTGTTGGTATCATGGTCGCAGATTTGATCTATCATGGGGATATTTGCAAGACACACTGTGTGTAGGGATTGGGACGTCATATTTCGCGTATCTGCTATCCGCATCTCTAAATCCTCCGCTAATTTAACAAGGGGGAAGGGGTAGGGGAAAAAAGAAAAGACGAAAGACAAAGGCGCGTCACCATCCCTCCCTTTCTTTCTTTGGTTTTTTTTTAAAAAAAAAATTTGGATTTTTATTTTATTTTAGATTTCGGATGAAAAATTGTAACGGGGAAAAAGATGGGGGAAATTCGCCGATGTAAACGGTGAGTGGTGGTCGTGGTCGTGGTCGTGGTGGTGATTGGGAGATGAGATGTAGAAATTGGCGAGGTGCATCTACCAAGCATGTCGACCCCTAACCCTGAATGGTGTTGAACACCTTCATCTGGGCAAATGGGACCGCTGGAAGGTCTGGAGTACGAAGCAAAACGGGCTGATTGGTTCAACAGCATGAGAGAGGTGAGGTGACCAAAAGGTGAGAAAAGCCACGCAACGCGAGATGCTGGGATCATAAGTTTAAACTTGGGAAGGGTAGGGCGGGTGGGTTGGCAAAGGGACGGAGCAGGCAAGGCAAAGGTCCAGGTGAGCAGGGGTTTTTTGAGGTACTTGGGGGTACATCCAGCTGCTTCAAACTACCTGGCATGTCACCAACAAGACTTGCGAGGCTTCAGGGCAGGGACCTGGATTGCAAGACACCAGCTTCCATTCGATCGTATTCCAGAAAAAAACGGTCTATCACTCAATTGGGAGTTTGAGGACGGGGGTAGGAATCGACTTTGTACCTGGAGATCACACCTCGCCACACCTTACCTGAACTTGGCTCCCCCCGTCCTCGCCTACCTACCCAGTGACGGCCCGGATGAATTGACAAGCTGACAACGGACAGATGGAGAAGGAGGAGAAAAAAGATCTTCGCCAGGAACGGGGACTGCCCCCGATGGACAGGTGCTATGCCATGCCATGCCATGCCATGCGAATGTGTCCTGCTGCTGCGATGCGCGCGCTCGCGATATGCGACGTAACCCAATTTTTTTTTTTTGGAGATTCCGCTTTTGCCTTTCAGCTATTTATTTTTTCAGGCACCTCATACGAGGAGAGTTGCAGGTGGCTCTATCTTTTTGATATATATATATATATATATCTATAGAAGATGTATTTCAGCTCGGGGCTCGAACTAGGTGTATCGAGGATTTTCTCCAGCCTGATCACCATGTTGGATACATTTGTGCACTATAAACACAGGCAAAAATCCCCATCCATGCAACCAACTACCCACTATGTAAAAGCCACAGGCTAGGAAAAGACAAGACGGGAAAACTGGAGAGGATGTAACCTGACAACGTGGACCAAAAAGCTTGGAAGCGAATCCCCCTTCTGAAGCGACGGTGTTACTCATCTGATGATGATGATGATGATGATGGGAGGAGTCACACCGAGCTACGAAACCGGACTGGAAGCTCCAGGCTTCCACCAACTTTGGGTTAGCCATGGGATTGTTTACCATCAACATCATGTTGAGCCTCATGGTAACAGACGGGAATAATTGCTGGTGGAATTGCTCAGCAAGAAGGGTAAGTAATACTCCAGAATAGAAGCATAACAGGCAAACAAACCTCTTTTCGTTGATGCAAACCCCGAGACTAGCTCCAGGAAGGATGTTTGCCTCTAGAAGAAGCGTTTCAGATTTTGAACCAAGGATCGGACTGAGAATGAGTCGCTTCTAGAAAGTTGCCTAGGTGTCTATGGTGCTGGGCTTGGAGATAAGAATAGATGTTTGCTTTTGGACACTGCAAGATGCAAAGCATGGGACTTTGCAAATGAAGTTCAAGTGCTCATCCAAATGCAGCAGGTGTTTACCGAGTCGAAGCGAGTGTGAAATGCACAAGATACACTGACAGCAAAGCAGATGCAAGCCTCCGAGGTGGTCATCACCAAGAAGGCCTCTCACCAGCCCACGCGACTGACCACCTGGTGTGTTTAAATGACTAAAGTAGATCTAATAGGCCTTTTCTTTTTCCACTGCGATTGTGAAGCGCAACAGTCATTATCGTGCCATATCCCTTTATCGAACTCTACAAGAGGCAGCCTACCTACAACACCGCCGTCCAACCAATCACCACTTGCTAACATTACAAAAGAGCAGGACCCTTCCTGCTTGGTGCCTGGTAGGGCTGGCATCATGACTGTACCCCGTGCCCGCTGCAAGGCCTCCCTCCCTATCTTGCCTGACCAGGCGAGGCAAGGCAAAAAAGGTGAGGCGAGATTCAGGCGGCCAGATAGACACCTTCCCCAGGCCTGCCTGCCCACTCACTCGTGTCAACCGTATTAGGCCAGGCGGTGGGTCACCCTACGTGTAATCCAATTCGGTGAGGGTGACTGATTGAGGCTCAACTCCTGTCATGAGTTTTTGGATTTGGGAAGTCGTGGTGGTAGGTAGTTCCGGAGCTGCCTGTTTGGTGATGGTGAAGACGGAGTGGCGGGATAGCTTAGACGCTTCCCGGTCCTTGCTGTTGATCATCGGGCCGCTCTCGTGCCGAGTAGTGGTTCGGCGGAGAGGTGAAAGGAAGTGGGGAAGCGGGAGAGAGAGGGGATGCGTAGGCACGGTGGGTAGGTAATGCCGGGTGTTTGATTGGTTGTATGGTTTTTGATGGGACGGGCGGGTTGGGGATGAAAGCTTCCAGAGCAAAATACCTATTGAGCCCATCATTAACCTAATTAGCAAAAGCTAAAGCTCAACAATTGAGAAAAAAAAAGCATCAAATATATACCCTCCACAGACAATATTTCATGATAAATCCAACAAGGAACCCTCAACCCTCCCCCCTTCCCCCCCCGCGCCGGCCCCACGGAACCCCACCGCGGCTACCGACTCCATCAGGCCAGTGGGGTGATGATGTTGACCTTCCTTCCCCCGCCCTCCGAGCTGCAAGCTGTGACTTGAAAGGGAGAACTAGCAGTTTTTACCCCGCCAAAAACGTAAGAGAGAGTGAAAGAGCGAGCCACCACCCAAGCAACTGTTTCTTCTTTTTATTGATTCCGTTTTTTTCTTTCTTTTTTCTTCTAAATTCCTTTTTTTTCTAAATCCCTTTCTCTCAAATGCTGTGTATAAAAAGCTGCCATCACCAGCGAACCGCGTTGAGGACAACAATAACAGCAAAACAACACACCACTGCTGCTGCTGCTTGTAAAAGGGCGTTCACCTCGTTTTCTTCTTCTATTGCTCGCCCCTCTTTGAAAACCCCAGTTCGACTTCGACCTCTTCATTACACAACAGCTCGCGTGCCCTGCCATTACTTCTCCTCCACCTCATCCAAAATGGCACCCCCTCCCGCCTCCGCCCACGAGTTCCTCGACTTTGTCAACGCCTCTCCCACCCGTTTGTCTCCCCCTCCTCTTCCTTTCCTCCCATCAACTAACCCCCCCCCCCCCCCCGTCTAGCCTACCACGCAGTCCAAACCGCCACCTCCCTCCTCCAAAAAGCAGGCTTCCACCCCATCTCCGAACGCACCCCCTGGACCCCCTCCACCATCTCTCCCGGAGGTAAATACTACCTCACCCGCAACGCCTCCTCCCTCATCGCCTTCGCCGTCGGGTCTCGATGGTCCCCCGGCAACCCCATCGCCATGATCGGCGCGCACACTGACTCCCCCTGCCTCCGTGTCAAGCCAGTCAGCAAACGCACCGCGAACGGGTACCTCCAGGTCGGTGTCGAGACGTACGGGGGTGGGATCTGGCACAGCTGGTTCGATAGGGATTTGTCGGTGGCGGGGAGGGTGCTCGTCAGGGTAAAAGAGGGCGGGTTTGAGCAGAGGTTGGTGAGGGTGGAGAAGCCGATTGTGAGGATCCCGAGCTTGGCGATTCATTTGCATAGGCAGAGCAATTTTGATCCGAATAAGGAGGAGGAGATGGTGCCTATTGCGGGGTTGGTGGAGGAGGTTCTTAACAAGAAGGGGGATGTCGAGGAAGGGGAAGAGGAGGAGTTTGAGCCGCTGAAGGCTATTGACGAGAGACATCATTCGGAGTTTTTGAAACTCATTGCCAAAGAGGCCGGGGTGGACAAAGTGGAGGACGTTCAGGATTTCGAGCTGATCTTGTATGACACGCAAAAGGCGGTTTTGGGCGGGATGAATGAGGAGTTTATCTACAGCGGGAGGTTGGATAACTTGGACATGACGTTTTGTGCGGTCAAGGCTCTGATTGGGAGTGTGAAGGATGGGAAGGGTCTGGAGGAGGAGACGGGGATCAGGCTGGTGGCGTGTTTTGACCACGAGGAGATTGGGAGTTTGAGCGCCCATGGAGCGGACTCTAACTTGCTGCCGGCTGTCCTCAGACGGCTGTCCGTCCTCCCTGGGGTCGACGGGAACCAACAATCCGAAAGCAACGAAACTGCCTTTGAGCAGACCCTCGCGAAAAGCTTTTTGATCTCGGCGGACATGGCGCATGCTGTTCACCCGAATTATGCGGGCAAGTATGAACGGAACCACCAGCCGCAGATGAACAAGGGGACGGTGATCAAGATTAATGCCAATCAGAGGTATGCGACGAATTCGCCGGGGATTGTGCTGGTGAAGGAGTGCGCGAGGAGGAAGGGGGTGCCGCTGCAGCTGTTTGTGGTCAAGAATGACAGTCCCTGTGGGAGCACGATTGGGCCGATGCTGAGCGCCAAGTTGGGGGTGAGGACGTTGGATCTGGGGAACCCGCAGCTGGCGATGCACAGTATCAGGGAGATGGGGGGGAGCTGGGACGTGGAGCATGCGATTGGGTTGTTTGAGGGGTTTTTGGAGGGGTATGGGGGGTTGGAGGGGGGCTTGGTTGTTGATTAGGGGGTAGAAGGCAGTATGGGATTATGGGATTATGGGGTTATGGGGTTATGGGGTTATGGGGTTATGGGGTTATGGGGTTATGGGGTTATGGGATTATGGGGTTATGGGATGTGGGATGGGGGGTTTGTTGAGTAGCTGTAGCTGTCGATATGTACCTGGGTAGCCCCTGAAATGAGAGGCTTGGTTTATCTACTCTCTTGTTGTGAAGGGTGTGTCCCTGAATGCCATGTGCTTGGACGTGACAGGGGGGGAAGTCTTGCTTGGTGGGACAAGAATGACGTTTGCCTGCGCGTGTGCTTGTGTGTCATTGATCTGAAAAAGCATTTTGGGAGCTGGACATCAGAATAGATCGAGCTCACAGTTGCTCATCTCCGAAGAAGAATCGCGTCCATGATTAGCTGTACCGGTAGTGTCAATCCCATGCTCAATATCACCCATGCTTGCTTGTGTACAGTTGCGGTTAGGGTATCAAATTTTTCATGTTCTGTTTGTCAGCTGTGTGTCCTGCTATATAAATCTAGTAACTAAGTACAGTAAAAGTAAAAGTAAACAAATATGTGCAAGTAACCCAGGCCTTCGGTGGGCGAGTATTCCAGCCGCCCCCCTTCTTTCCCCAGCCTGCTGTTGTCATGTCATACAATACTCCTCCCCTCCTTTCCCCTTTACAACTCCTTCTTATGCTCATGCCCATGATCATGCCCATTCCCCTCCTCCTCGGGCTCAGGACTACTCCTAGCACTAACCTCCCCAGCAATAAACTCCTCCCCCAGCCCCCTTCCCCCTTCCAGCCCTGTAGGAACAAACCTCACCCTAACCCTCCTCACCCCCCTCACCTTCCCCCCGACCCTTTCCCTAACCTTCTCCTCCACTTGTCTCACCTGCTCCACCGTCCAATCCCCCGGAACCCCCAGCTCCAAATCAACAAGATAGTTCTGCCCCGACTTGACCCCGCTCACGTCCGTCAACTCCACGTTCCCCGACTCCCCTAGCTCTCCAATACTCTTTGAAACCTGTGACTTGATCGAACTGCGAACTTCCTCATCAATAGACCGATCAGCGAGCTCGTACAGCGCAGAGAGTGTATTGCTCAACCCAGCCTTGATGACAAGTAAAGAGATCAACAGCCCGCCGACGGGGTCAAGCCAGGCTGCATTCGACAAAAAGTTCGCTCCGAGGATGGCAAGGAGGGTTACGATGCCGGTTAAAGAGTCAACCCTGTGATGTACCGCGTTTGACGCCAGGACGGAGGATTTTCTTTCGCGGGCTACTTTCATTGCTGTTGCACGGGTAAAAAAAGGTTGGTTAGTGATGGGATGGGAAAGGGAGGGGGGGGGAGGGGGAAGGGGATATATACGCACTGGCATGATACAACCACTCCTTAACAGCCACCGTACCAGCCGCAAGCCAAGCAGCGTGTAGACTCGGCGCTCCTCCTCCATGACTATGCCCATGCCCATGCCCATGATGGTGATGACCATGTCCATGTGACAGCGCCTCTGCCGCCGCGGCGGGATCCAACATTATGTGAGCGTAGAGAGTCTCGCAGCTGGACATGCACATGAATATTCCTCCAAAAAGCAACATGCTAGACACCCCCAGCGAGCCGAGACTCTCGACTTTTCCAAAGCCCATCGGGAAGTTGGCCGTTGGTGGGCGGAGGGACCAGGACACGGTCGCGAGGGTGAGGACGTCAGACGCCAAATCGGTGAGGGAGTGCCAGGCGTCGGCGATCATGGATTGGGAGTTGAAGGCGTAGCCTCCTAGGCCTTTGGCGATGGCCATGCCGAGGTTGGAATAGAGGCCTATTCTGGTGATGCGGACGCCGGCGTCGGATTTGTTTTGGGAGGTGAGGTAGATGTTGTCGTGGTGGTGGTGGTGGCCGTGACTGTGGCCGGCGTGAGTGCGGTGTTGTTGACCCATTTTCAGGGGTGATTGTGGTGGTGATGACGACGTTGTTGGTCTTGTTGTTGTAGAGAAGTAATTGTCTGTTGTGGAGAAGGAGGAATTGGGATGTAAAGAACGGTCGGAAAAGGCCACCCTGGAGGCTGGGGAGAGGGCAGTGTAGTACACGCGACGTTGTAGGGGTGGTGGTGGTGGCCGAAGTGGGTGATGTGTTCTCGGGCTAAATTGAAATAATAATGGAGGATGATAGCTCCGTGCCTGTCTTGTTAGACGGAGCCGTGACGACGCTGCTACCGGAGACGTCGTCGCACAGATGCGCAACCCCGGACATGGCCTGCAGCCGAGCATCTGGGGTTACAGGAGGTGAGTGAGAGTTGATATTGCGTCTTGAACCGCCCCAGTAATCGTTTTCAATGGCAAATATTGTAAATAACGGCTTCTTCGGAGAGGTCGGTCGGTCGGTCGGTTGATAATGGAGCGACTTGAGTGAGGGAGCGAGAGGAAGAGAATGAAACAAAATGCCCCTTATCGACCGATAAGACACCAAAGAAATTAACACAAAAGGTGAGTATCAACAAGAAGAGAACTGCTTATTTCAAACTTTTAGGATCTGAAAAAAAAAAAAAAAAAGAGGTGGTGGACACCCACATGAGAATGAGGTGCTCAAAAATAATGGCCCGACATCGCACCACCGACCACTCAAAGCTGCATCCCCAATTGCAGTGCCCTGAAGATGGCTGCATTCCTGGATTAGCGCCATCTAACAGGGGTTCAACGGAAGCCCACAGCAGCCAAGCAGCCAAGCGAAGGACGCTAAGCTCTGCCCCGCACTTCACATTCTGGGGGAAGTGGTGGGAAGTGCCGTGTCTTCAGCCGCATCTTTCCATTTGATGTCATGACGTCTTTTATCAGCTAAATATCAAAAGATCTGATATCTCGGTTACATCTCCCGTCTCCATCTTGGTTGTAGTCTCATTGGATCTAGTCTCACCTAGTCTCATCTAGTCTCATCTATTCCCACCCAACAATGCCAACCTCATTCATGCGAATCCCCTACCGAGATCTCCTCCCACCACCAAACATCATCCCCCCATCAGCATCCACCCTCCCCGGCGCCATCACTGCCCTCCAAGAGTTCTTCCACAACCCACCCCCATCAGGCCTACCCCCCTCAACAGTCGTCCTTACCGGCGCCGGCCTCTCAGTAGCAAGCGGACTGGCCGATTACCGAGGCGTCAAGGGCACCTATCGCGTCAACAAGACTCACCGCCCCATCTACCACCACGAGTTCATCTCCAGCCATGAGACCAGAAAGCGATACTGGGCGAGAAGCTTCCTCGGCTGGACGACCATGAGCATGGCCAACCCCAACTCTGGCCACTACGCCATCCGAGACCTCGGGAAACTCGGTGTCGTGAAAGGCGTCATCACTCAAAACGTCGACTCGTTCCACCCTCGAGCCCACCCGGACATGCCCACAGTTGAACTCCACGGCTATCTCCGGTCTGCCGTCTGCATCACCTGCCGAAATGAGTACCCGAGAGATGTCTTTCAAACCGAGTTAGCCAGATTGAATCCGGTTTGGAAAGACTTTCTGAAAGAAGCCATCTCCTCTGGAGCATTAGAAACCGAGGACCCAAACGAGAAGCGGACGCGGGGCGTCAAGATGAACGCCGATGGCGATGTTGAAGTCCCCGGCGCGCCATACACCACCTTTCGGTATCCAGCCTGTCCAACATGCCTGACTCGCCCACCACCATTGGCAGATGGCACCAAGGGTGTGGTCGAGGTAGATCAGGACGGCGCATTGGAGCCCATCAGCAATGCCGGTATATTGAAGCCGGCCGTGGTCATGTTTGGCGACAGCATCTCTCCCGAAGTCAAGCATGACGCTAACAAGACCATCGATAACGCCGGCAGGTTGCTCGTGATGGGTACCTCTCTCGCGACATACTCTGCCTGGCGGCTAGCCAAGCGCGCCAAAGACAGAGGGATGCCCATTGCAGTGATAAACATGGGCGGTGTGAGAGGGGAAGAGGCCTTTTTCACCGATTTGGATCCGAAGCAGGCAGGGGGTCAGGGGGTGAGAACCGAGATATCCACCGAGAGCCTATTGCCAGCCCTCGTTCAGGCAATGCGCAAACCGGAAGCTCGGAGCCGCCGCCACCACCACCATCATGATGCGCCTCATGCGGTGGCCTTTGAGCGAACAAATCCCGCAGAGGTTTTTAAGGATTTCTTGTCATAGATTTTTGTAGAAATATACCGCGCGCACCTCAAGAAATGGGGGTGTTTAGCTTGCTAGAAGAAGCCTTGGCTTGAAAGAGCAGATTTGGGGGCTGGGCGTCTTGCAGCAGCAGCTTCAGCATCAGCTTTGACCTGAGCAGCAGCGGCAGCAGCAGCCTCTGCCTGCTGTCTCTTTCGTGTAGCCTCCTCGCGCTCGATTTCTTTGAGGACTATGAATAGTGTCCGTGTCAGTGTTTTGTTTGCTTTCACCTGTTCTCTGGTATAAAAAACAAACCTTCATCCCACTCTTTTTCGCGTTCTGAATCACCTGTGCCCAAGACCTTTTCCACGTCGACGTCTTGGCCGGATTGGAGTTTTTCAACTACTTCGCGGAGGAGGGAGATGCGGGCGTCGGACTGGCGGGTGAAGGCTTCGTAGTCTTTGCGGAGGGCGATTTGCTGGATGGACATGGAGCCGATGAAGAGGAAGATGCAGATGAAGAATGTGGCGGGGTTCCAGTCTTTTTTGGGGGGTTGTTTTTGGGCGGGGAGGGAGCGGTGGTGGTTGTCCTTTCGGAGGGGCTTGGGGATCATGGAGCGCCAGAAGGATGGTTCGGTGACTGTGCTAGATGCCCGAGAGGGGAGGGCTGTGGTGGCTTGGAGAAGAGGGGTCGCTGTCGTTTGGGAGAGGAGGGGGGAGAGGAGGGTGAGGCGGAGGGTTGGGCGGTACATTTTGACTTGCGGATCGAGAGGGCGGTTGGTGGGATCGCGAATTGAGCTGGTCGGTGGTGGTGGTGGTGGAGGTTGAAGACGTTGAAGTTGAAGATCAAAACTTTGAACACGAATGGATCCCACCAACGGCTGTTCAACCAACCCCTGCAGGAGAAACCACCCCATCTGAACTTTTCTCTTCCCGGCAGGCAACAAGTGTGGAGAAGGCTAGATTGTTGCCTGGTCAACCACCCAGCATGCACCGACTTTTCTCCGTGGAGTCAATAATCTCTTGGCGAGCCCCATTCTGGGTGGTAGGAAACACATCCAAACCAGTCCATCCAGTCCACTGCCTCCACGCCAGACGACATCACTCGCCCACCCACTTCTTCGACAACATCCTTGTCTTCTTGTCTTGATAACTCCATCACTTCGTATCGACGTCAACAACTTTCTTTTCCTCTCCTCCCACCATCTTTTTGGTCGTTTGTTTAGAGGAGACAGATGTTTTAACGAATTGCGACCTCGCTTTTGGCTGTTTTGCGACAATTGCGATTAGAAATGATATGATTAGGAAATCAGAAACTCGTTTGTAAATCGACAGCAACAAGCAGACATTTTCTCTTTTTTCCCTTCGTAATGGATACAAACAACAACAACGCCACCACCAGTCAAACGGCTGCTGCCGCCGTCCGCAGCGCTGTTGCCTCGGTCGCGACGTGCACCCCCGCGACGTCTGCGTTGTTGAAGAGTTTACTCCTCCCAAAAGAAGAGAGCAGCAGCAGCAGCAGCACACCTGCAGTGGACGAGCCACCGTCACGAACAACCTCCCGCGCCGCGACTGCTCGATCGCGGGCTAATACTGCTACCTCAAATGTATCCCGAGCACCCTCCCGCCGGGGCAAGACTCCCGCCGCAACCCCCCCAGTAGATACCGCCGGCGGTCTCTCAAGCCGTGACAAAGCCACCCTCGCGACGCAGGTCATCAACGCCGCGCTGAAAGCCCTGTCGGAAGCAGCCAAAGCTTCATCTACTGTCACCCCCGCAACAGAAGACCCCCCGCCGTCGCCGTCATTAGTCAAAACCGCGACGACAAGGCAGACGTTACGACGAACGAGCTCAGCGCCGATCTCACCCCTCCAACCCCGCCCGTTGAATCGGCAGTCGACGTCCCCTTCTGTCCCCCGACATGTACGATCACCTTCCAAGCCGAGCCTGTTGGGTTCTTCCCCGAATTTGTTATCGCTAGTCGAATGCGCGCGCGTTGCGCTGAGTACATTGAGGCAGATTGTCACCGCGGGAAAGGTCACGCTGCCGGAGCTCCAGCTCGAGAGTGGGATTTCTGCTCTGGTGAGCAGGTTGATCACACTTGGTTTGCACGAGCAGGCTATTCGGGAACTGAGAACCCTGAAGAGGAGATTGGAGACTTTGTCGGGGAATGAGAAGAAGGCGCCAGTGACAGAGCCGAAAACCACGGCGGAGGCGTTTTCCGAGATTTTTGACTTCGGCTCTGTCAAGCTGTCCGGTCCGGCGCTGCTGCTGGCCGTCACGACGCAGATCCAGGCGTTGAGGGTGTTGGGGCTGGGGAAGAAGCCCTCTGCGATAGAGGCGGTGGTGACGCATTTGGGATATGACAAGACTTGTTCCCCAGTCAGGTTGCTGCTGCAGGCTGCCGCGGAAAAGGGGGCGGACAAGGGGAAACTGGGAAGGCAGATGGAGACTGCGGCTCAGTGTCTGCTGGCGCTTTGCCCGAGTGTGTCGGGTAAGGATGATGGGGTTGCTACGGAGCAGAGGCTGAGTGTCTCCCCCGGCACAGCGCTGGAGCTGCAGGTTTTGGGGCTGGAGATGAGGTTGCAATGGTGGGAGATGGTGAAGCATCGGGGGGATGTCGAAAAGGAGGTGATGGTGCCGTTGTCGAGATTTTTGGGCGCGTTTATAAGGAGGACAGCGGCCGATGCGAAGACGAGTTATAAGGTTGTTGTGGGGGCCTGGGAGAGGGTTGATAGCCGGGTGAGGGGGCTGAATCTCAAGCCGAAGGTGGGATCGAGGATGCCGCTTGCGATGATTTATCAGACTTTGGCTACGCTTGCGAAGGAGGGGGGATTGGTGAAGGAGGCGGTGGGGTGGGGGGTTAGGTTGAGGGATATGATTGGGGGGGAAGGGTCAGCCGAGTCGGTTGTGAAGAAGGTGTCTGTTGCTGCGCAGTTGTTGGGGTGCCAGCTGAAGGATAGGACAAAGTATTTGCATGATGATGGGCTGATTGGGGAGGTTGTGGCGGGGATGATGGGGCCGTTGAGGGGGGATATGAGCGAGTTGGATGAGCTGCTGGGGAATGTGGTGCAGGCGAGGAAGGCGGCGATTTCGGTGCTGGTGGTGGAGAGGAAGAGTGAGGTTTCGTCACTGCAAAAGGGGACGAGGGACCAGTTGGAGATGTTGGTGTTGCAGACGCCGAGGTTTTGTTTGAGGTGGTTGGGGAAGCCGCCTGGACCTAAAGGCAGCACGAAGGATTATTTGAGGTATGAGCAACGACGACAACTGCTGCAGGGGAGTTTGCAGCAGAATCTGGAGTCGGCTTTTTTGGTGGTCAAGGTTAGGTTGGAGGAGGGGAGGATGGCGTGGGAGGTGACGGATAGTGTTTTGGGGGATTGTGTCACGTTGTTGGAGTATACGGGGAGTAGTAACGGTGGAGGAGAAGGGAGTTCGATGTATGTCAAGATATCGCATTTTTACTACCTGCAGTATAATGCGCTCCGGCAGACGATCGCGGATCCCAAGGACCCGAGTCCGTTGAGGGCGCTGAGGAGGTCGGTGGATTGTGTCAAGTATCGGAGTGGGAAGGAGAAGGAGAAGGCGCAGTTGATTCTGAAGTTGGAGAGGCAGAGTGAGTTGGCAAAGAGGTTGGGCAGGGGAGAGGAGGCGATCAGTGCGCTCTTTGCCATCAGGACGAGTTTGCTTGAGGATGGGGTGCTCGCTACGGTTGCCAAGGGGCTGGCTACACAATCACCGGTGGCGGTCTGGGAGCGTGATGAAAAAACCGAGGCGCTGTCACGGGCCCTGGTGGCCATCGCGCAGATGGAGCAGGTCTGGATGGATTGGACTGTCGATTTATCCGAGGCTGAACGGGCGGCTGCTTTGGAGCACAGACTGAGGTATGTCTTGCTGAGAGCAGGAAGCAGTTACACAGATGTCACGCTCGAGCACCCCTGTGTTGATCAGCTGTTGAGGATATACATCCCCACGAGGTACCCGATCCGACGGCTTAGGGTGCTGCTGAGTCTGCTCTGTGCTGCTCTGGGGAAGCTCGATAAGGCAGAGGAACTCCTCGCGGTTGCGAAAGACGCCTCGCAGGTGGAGGATTTGGGCGAGGACACAGGCCTGGTTGGGTATCTGCAGCACATGAAAGCTCTCTTTGGGAGTCTGGCTGCGGCAGTGGACGGATACAAGAATGCAGGCGCCCTTCGGGAGAGCGTGGTTGTCTGGCAGGGCATCATCAAGTCATGCCAGGACAAGGCCGCCCTGGAGAAGCAAGTGGACGATGTTGCCGGTCTTCTCGACTATCTCCAGTCTATCGCGGACTTCCTCCGGATGAAAGGCAAAGACGAGATGCTCGCCTCCGTACTCGAGCTCGTCACAGACATCTCCCAGGTAGCCGCTACCCAAGGCTCCAAAGCCGAAGAGCTGATTCAGCACAACTCTGCCCTGGCCATGCAATACACCAACCTAGGCCGGTCCACAAAAGCAGAGCAGCTCTTCACCAAGGCCCGTCAACACCTCGGCCCGCAAGCCTCGGGGGACACCACCGCCGCGTTTTACCTCGCCTGCGCTGAGCACGCTGTTGCCTTGGGCGACTTTCAACAAGCGGAAGAGCACCTCGCCTCCGCCCGGACAGCCTACACCACTTCCTCTACCAGCACATACACCCGCCTCCAGAAAAAACAACTCGTCGCCTATGCGTTTTATCTGCATTCGATCCTCGCCCAAGAAAAAGGCGACTCCCACCACGCGCTGGTGTACTCTAGAGAAAGCGTCAGGGCGATCATGGCGGAGTGGGTAAAGTTGGAAGCCCAGCTCGTCGCTTCTTCTATCACCTCCTCCTCCTCCTCTTCCCCCGATCAAACCGACCTGTCCCTCGCTACCGCAACCCAACACCTGCCTGTTGCTGCTTCTGGACCGGCCTTTTGGAAAATGTTTCATGGCTTGTTTCGGAACACGATGAGACTCTCTTTCGTGTACGCTCACTTGGGCTTGTTTCAGGAGACGATGTACTATGCTGAGCAAGCGGGGAAGATTGCGGAGCAGGTAGACAGCGAGTTTTACAACTGTGCGGTGGCGGGGTGGATGGGGGAGGTTTCTTGGAGGTCGGGGGGGATTGAGAAGGCGGGGGAGATGTTGGGGAAGGCGACGGGGTTGTTTACGGAGGTTGCTGGAGGGGGGAACTGGTTTGGGGCGGCCGAGTTGGCGGTTAGGTTGTCAGAGATTTGTGTTGGGGTGGGGAATTTGAAGGGGGGGGGTTGGTTGCTGGAGAGGGCGGAGGGGATTGTGAAGGGGTTGGTGAAGGATAAGGGGGTGGAGGACGTGGAGGAGGGGATGAAGAAGTTGAAGATTGAGGAGGGGAGCAAGGGGACGACAGCGAGGGGAGGGGTAGGGGGGAGGAAGGTGGTTGGTGGTGGGGGGGTGAAGAAGCCTGTTCGGAAGACGGGGGCTGCTGGGGCGAGGGCGGCTGCTACGAAGGCGAAGCCGGTTGTTAAGGCCGCAGCTCCTGCTCCTGAACCCGTGGTAGTTGTGGAGGATGCGCAACTTGCGAAACTTCGGGCTTCCATTCTCGTCCAGAAAGCGGTGCTGATGCTCAAGCAAAAGGAGTGGGCTGGGGCTCAGAGTATTTTGAGTGAGGCTGCTTCTGCTACGACGGTCAAGTCTTCTGACCTGTTACCTACGCGGCAGCTGGCTATGGCGTCGTGCTTGTTAGGTATGAGCATGGAGCAGATGGCTCAGGATCCGGTCTTTTCCGTCATTCAAGATTCCACCATTTCATTCCCGGCGCTATCGGGCATGGAGAGGCTCTCTTCAGTGCAAGCCTCGCCCATGAAGGCAGCTACGTCACCTAAGAAGGGTGCGAGGGCTGCTGGCAAGGGCGAGGGTGCAAAGGACCTGTCACAAGGTGTCTACGTCGACAACCTGAGAGAAGCACATGATTATCTGCTCGAGGCTCATTCTGTCGCGTCCAAGAGCGGGGACTCGGCGTTGATCCACAAGATTTCTGGCATGTTGCAGCATGTTGGGTTGTTCCTCACTGCTACTTCCTCCTCGAGAACCAAGGCGACGATTCACTCTGCTCAAACATCTTACTCTGTCGAGCTGGCGAGGAATCTGATCTGGAGAAGGGAGAGAAAGGCGATGATTCAAGAGAAGCACGCGCCCAGACATGACGGCACCGAGTGGCCGCCCGCGTTGCAGTCTGTCACCTCCCGGAGATCAAGTCTGGGATTCACGCTGGACTTGCACAAGGTTCAGAGGGACTACATTGACATTGTCCCCAAGAACTGGAACGTCATCTCGATTGCGCTTAGCGAGGGGAATCAGGACTTGTGCATCACCAAGCTTCAGGCTGGGCAGAACCCGTTTGTTATCCGGTTACCGCTTGAACGCGCGACGTCACGAGATGCGGATAGCGACGTGTTCAACTTTCAGCAGGGAAGGTCTGAGTTGTTGGATATCATCAAGGAGATTAATGCTACTTGCCACAGCGCAAAGGATATGAATCAAAAGGGCGCGAAAACGGAGTGGTGGAATGCGAGAGAGGCGCTGGATGAGAGGCTGAAGGAGTTGCTGGAGAACATCGAGCAGATTTGGCTCGGGGGGTTCAGGGGCATCTTTTCGCAGCACTGTCGGAGGGCGGATCTGTTGGCCAGGTTTCAGAAGAGCTTTTTGGCCATGATGGATAAACACCTCCCCTCGCGAAGACAGGTGAGAGGAAAAAAGACCAAGGCTGCTGCTGCTGGTCAAAAGGTGCAGCTGGACCTGAACATCCTCGAGCTGTTTATCGGGTTGGGGGATGCGACGAGGCCGGGCACGGACTTTGACGACGAGCTCACCGATCTGCTGTACTTTGTCGTGGACATTTTGCAGTTTCACGGCGAGAGGAACGCGTACGACGAGATCGATTTTGACTCGATGGTGGTGGAGACGTTTGATGCGCTGATGGGGTATCATTCGGCTGTGAATGAGGGGAGGAGTAGGAGTAGCAGGGGGGGGGAGGAGGAGACGGGGATTCATACGGTCTTGTTGCTGGATAAGGCGCTGCATGTTTTTGCCTTGGGAGTCGCTGCCTTGCATGCAGGGGTTGGCGATTAGTCGGATGCCGAGTTTGGCTTGTTTGAGGAGGTTGATTTTGGAGCAGAGGTTGAGCGAGCCGCCGGTGGGCGAGGGGGGGGGGGGGTTGTTGGATGTGGAGGGGCATCATGTTGATTTTGGGAAGGGGAAGGGGAAGGGGGCGTACATTTTGAATCCGTCGGGGGATTTGGCGGCTACGCAAAAGACTTTTGGGCCGGCACTCGAGGAGAATCTTTCATCGTTTGAGAGCATCATTTCGAGACCTCCGACGGAGCCTGAGTTTGAGAGGTTTTTGGCGGAGAAGGACTTGTTGCTGTATTTTGGGCACGGGTCTGGAGCGCAGTATATCCGTGGCAGGACCATTCGTCGTCTTGATCGGTGCAAGGCTGCTGTTCTGCTCATGGGTTGTTCCAGTGCGGCCCTGACAGAAGCTGGAGAGTTTGAACCCTCTGGTCCAGCGTGGAATTACATGCTCTCTGGCAGCCCAGCGGTGGTGGGGACGCTCTGGGATGTGACAGACAGAGACATTGATCGGTTTGCCGGCCGGATGCTGGAGACCTGGGGTGTCTTGCCCAAGGGCGCGGTGGAGGATGATGGCAAGGGGCGGGATACAGGCAAGGGGAAGAGAGCCAGAGGGGATAAGAAGAGGAGTTTGGTAGAGGCGGTAGCGGAGGCGAGGGAAGGGGGGTGTAGGTTCCGATATGTGACTGCGGCGGGAGTGGTTGTTTATGGGGTGCCTGTTTATGTCTGGAAGGAGTAGGTTGGTTGGGTAAACTGTCGAGAGTATTTGGATGATTAAGAATTGGGGGGCGTTGAAACAGTGGGCGTTTTGAAGCATATGATTACTACAAGGCATGGGAAAGGATAGATGATGAATGTCTGATGGGATAGGGAGTTTTGTTGGGATTATGGAATGTGGGATTATTAATTGGATTGAACAGGGGCGTTTGAGGGATGAGGAGTTTACTTTGTAGGGATAGGGAGGAGAATTGAAAGAGTTTCACGTTGTAAATGATAGATGTGTTTTGAGGGTGGCATTATTCTGTATTACTTGCTTTTACATGATGTGACCCAGATATTGTACCTACTTGGTTGATGTCTTGATCGCAAGCAAATCAATTTAAATATCATCCCAGCATGCAAACCACACACAAGCAGACGAGAGTCTACCGCAAGGGGTCCTCCCCGGAATAGCCCTCGCGCTTCCAAACGGAGACCTCCCCACGGTCGAGCGTGAACGAACTCGGCTCTCTAATCAGAGGCTGGTAGGATTCATCTGAGCTTTGTACACCTAGATAAACCATACTTTGAAAGAAAGTTGATAGACCTCTTGAATATCTTTGAAGGCCTTATTGACTATCTTTCGAGGCCTGTTTTCGTTGCAAAAAAGGTATAAATCAACATGTTATCTCACTGGCAGTTTTTTGTCCACGAACAATGTGTTAGGCGTTCAGTTGTCCGATTCAGGCTTAGCGTGACGCATTTAAAACATCCCATATAACCGACCCAACCACACAAGCGCGCAAAGCACCTCGACGTCCTCATTCATTCATTCGCATTGCATCACATTTTCTCCCCAGCGCAAAAAAAAAAAAAAAAAAAAAGAAGAAAAGGAAACGACACACACACACACCCGACACAAAACACCACTCTCTCTCTTTCCCAACCCTGCAACTCTCCCCACCAACAAATCCAACCCCCAAAACAGAACAAAAAATGGCAGACCAAGACCTCCTCCTCTTCGCCCGCGAATCCGCCTCCCGCTCCGACGACCTCTACGCCCTCCTCTCCCTCGACGCCACAGCCACCGACCAGGACGTCCGCCGCGCCTTTCGCAAAAAAGCCCTAACCGCGCACCCCGACAAGGCGGGCGACAACTACGACCCCGCGTTGTACGAGCGGCTGGAGCGCACGAGGGATGTCCTCCTCAACCCTGAGGCCAAAGAAGTCTACAACAATGGGATGAAAGCCGTTCTTGAAAAGAAACGACAGAGGGAGCAGATGGGCGCGAAGAGGAGGCAGTTGGTTGAGGAGCTGGAGCGTAGGGAGGAGGAGGCGAAACGGCAGAAGACGGATGGGGAGGGGGATGGCGGGAGGGACAAGGTTAGGGATATGGCTGCCCGGGGGGAGGCGGAAAATGGAGGAGTTGAGACGGATAAGGGAGGAGGCCGAAGGAAGCGGGAAAGGGGGCTGTTAGGGAGAGGGAGGAGGCGGAACAACAACAGCAAAAGCAGGAGGAGAAGGCGGAGGAAAAGGATTATGATGGGGAGATTGCCGAGGTGGAGAGGAGACTGGCCGAGAAGCAGAGGTTAAAGGCGGAGAAGAAAAAGGCCAAGAGGAAGGAGGAGACCAAGAATGAGGACCAGGCAACATCATCATCACTCCCTTCTGACACCATCAGGAAAGAAAAGGATATGGCTGACCGTGGTGACAAGGTCTCGGCTGCGGCGACGACGACGACGACGACAACGACAAGTGCGACAGATGCGAATAGTGATGCTGGGGCGACGGGGCAGCCGGGGAACAAGTTTGCTTCTACTATGGCGAGACTGAGGGCTGCACAGGCGAAGAAGGATGAGGAGAAGAGAAGGAGAGAGGAGGAGGCGAAGGCAGCCGCTGCTTCGTAGATTTTGCACCCCGTTGTTAGATTTTCTAGACGTTTTGCTCATGATACCCAGAACAGATCTTTCTCTTCAATGCATTGACGCAGTTCCCAGCTAGGCCTATCTATAATCATGCGTCACTGTACTAACCCATCAGACTATAATGCTAGGGCATCATGCAGCAGCACAATTCCATAAGCCCAAGACTTGTTGTACAGTATTATACATGTGCAAGTATCTCACAATCAAGATACACATTTCATCATCATCAATGTCTCCTCCCCTTCTTCTCCATCTTCTCATCCAACTTCTCCCTCAACCACCCCGGGACAAAAGCCTTGACCCTCACCTTCTCCCCTTCCTCCCCCTTAACCTCAACCTCAAACTCATCCCCCTCCTTAAACCCCATCCCCGTCCCCACCGCCGCCTCCCCCGGCAGCTTCAAATCAGTCATCATCTCCAACCTCCCCAACACCAACCCCAAATTCCCCCTTCCCCCAAGCCACTTCCCCGCTGGTCTCCCCCTCGCGCCCACTCTCGTAACATTACTCCCCGCCTGAATCCTCCCCGCAAGATCCCCCTCTTCATACCGCAGTGATGTCGGTGGGGAGGACGCAGAGGAAGGATAGAGCATGGCAGGCAAAATTCTCTTCCTCACCACCCCCCTATGCTCCGTCCTAATAGTCAACTCCTGCCCAACATAGCACCCCTTCCTAAAATCAACCCCCCCCAACAAATCCAGATTCGACTCGTGAGGCAAACCCCCATCCCTCACAATCTCCTCCTGCCCCTCCGCCACACCATTCGCGTACCGCAACAGAGTGTAGACCTCCTCCGATTGCATCTGAACCCCTTCCAATCCACTCCCACCCCCCAAAACTAAACCCCTTTGCCAGGATGGAACCCTCGGGTCGGGGCAGTAGCGTAAACTCTCACCTTGAGCCGGGATAGAATCCGGACTCCCCCAAACAGCAATCACGCTCGCCTCTTCCTGCGGGAGAAGGGCGATGGCGCATTTAGAGCGGAGTTTATACCGCTTCAAATGCTTGACTAGCGTTGCTGCTTCGAGGGTGGAGACCTCGATGAGGAAGCTATCTGGTGGTGAGGAGGTTAACCTCGGGTCGAGGTAGATGAAGACGTCGTTTAGGATCCTGCCTTGAGCAGACAAAAACGCGGCGTAGGTTAGGGTTGAGGGGGTGGTGGGGAGCTCGTTGGTGATGATTCCTCTTAAGAACTTGGCGGCGTCTGGGCCGGAGAGGGAGATTAATGATCTGGAGGGGAGGGGGGAGATGCCTGAGTGGGGGAGGCCATTGTCTACCGGTGTTGTTTCGGAGGTGGCTTCTTGACGGAGGAGGGGAGAGGTGGAAAAGGGGCGGTGTTGCCGGGGTAGAGAAAGGGGTGTTTGTTTTGGTCGTGACAGTGGTGGTGGTGAGTAACTTGGCCGGGATGATGATGAAAAAACCCTTGCAGTGGTGGTGGTGGTGGTGGTGGTGCTCGGCAGGCTACCGGCAGCGATTGCTATCCTCCTTCTTACGACAGGCTGCATTTCTGAGATCGTAATGAAACAGAACAATTACACCCGTTGTAAGGATTTCACAAAACCAATGTGTTTCGTGGAAGCTCTCGTCGGATCGGAATTTGGCCGTCAGTGACGTAGACTTTTCGATGTTCGGCAACGACAGTTTTGCCGATCGGCGAAAGCGGGACTTGTCTAGGCCGAGGGGTGGTGATCTGTGCGCGGGCTATCAGCCTTGTGAGAGAGAAAGAGACTCGGCGTTGTCGGGGTTGGCTCCGGGCGGTCGGGTGTATCGATAATCTCCGCTCGTTATCTGACACACCTCACCCACTGGACTGATGGACAGTGACTGGATCAGCTTTTTTGCGGGGGACGAGAGATATCTCCGTTCGCTCCGCTTTGTTGATTGATCATCCCGTTGATTTTTGGTGGGGTTTTTTAGTCCGCTGTGGATCGCTTATTACACTAACACTTACACTGGCCCAAGTCAACGACATATCGGGCGTTTTCAAATAAAAGGGCGTGTGTGTGTCCCTCAGAATGTCTAATTACATTTGTACTTTGATGCCGAGAAATCCACGGTGACAAACCTTCCGGGCAGTAAGCGATATGCAGGGATGAGCAATTTCAAGGACTCTGCAGCAGTACAGTATTTTTCATCAAAACATATCCCGTCAAAGCTGACAAAACAGGGGCGACAGTAAACTCCGGGATGGCCCGGTGAAGTGTGGAAGAAAGGGAGGTGGATGACTGAGCCACATGTCATCGACTACGACCCTTTTCCCGTGTGTGTGTTACGGAAGAAGCTCCGTTCAACGGACGGAATCGGGGAGGTGGGTGTCAGTTGACTCACGCCGAAAGTGCCGCAGACAGAGACGAAAAGAAAACCTGATGGGAAAATTCCCTCGCGCTATTTCCCCATGACTTGTCGACTTGTTCCTATCGCGAGCCTTGCTGTCCTGCGTATCCTCTCTGCCCGGCTGCACCCGTACCCGATCGTCAAGGAGCGAGCGAGCGGCAGATGTCCCGGGTGACCCCGCGGTGGCTTCGCATCTCCAACAAATTGAGGTGTGAGCCTGACCGATGAGAATCAAGACCTCTCAAGGAAAGGGGGGTGTCCCTTGTCTCACCCCCCACAGTTTACCGATCGCCAAAACATCACGAACTGGGACAATCATAAAAATGAGCCTTGCAGCCTTCAAACAGGGCAGTCGGTCACGAACTCCATCGTGTCAGACATGGTCATGATGTTGATGTCCTTCACCGCCTTGGATATCAACTCGCTGCCTGGGCGCATGCCATAGGTCATCATGGTCCTTCCCGCCTTTTTGCACCTGCATACGCAGGAGAACACTGCCTCTGCCCAGAGGCATAGGGAACGTAACATCTCGCGCAGTCACACAAGGCGTCCAGTTTTCTCCCTTCCCCATAGTTCTTGACGGGTTCCTAGTTTCTCGAGCTCCTGATCCCTCACGTAATCATCATGTAGGGCTGAGAGGGAATTCTCATATCAAGATGCAAAGAACTTTTCTGTTGAACTGTAAATTCATACAGATTACCTGCTGTATAGAGCTGTGATTGACTGATCGGAGGGCATCAGTCGCACCGCAGTGAACAGGATCATGAGCATCAGGCCGGGAAGAGCCCGGCACCGAATATAACGAACTGATCGTCTTGCACCCTCGGATTCAGGCCATGCCGTGATGTTGTGACGATCACCAGTTCCAACGGGCACAATCAACATCAAAAGCCCTCAATACGAAAATTACAGGCCGATGTAGACGGTCGTCACGGTTGCTCATGTTGCGCTGATGATACCTTTTCAATGTTGTTTCCACCCGGTCAACTGATGGCCTCCAACACAAGAAGAACCTGCAACCGTTTCACACCTGACCCTGACTGGTGAGGCCTGAAAGTGTGGCCGGTGATGCGATCCGTCTACAGCACCGTTCCCTTGCCGTTCCCTACCCGCGCAACCCTAAAAAGAGGTGCCGAACCCGGCAGTCTGGGGCAGCGGGTCGTCGTTGCGGTTTCGTTTGGGTCGATTTTCGAATCGCGGCGCCGCGGCATCGAAACACCAGTGAAAGACACCACGCCGCCGCCGCCGCCAACGCCGCCTCCAGTGTTGGCCGCCATCATCTTCAACATTGAAACCCCCGCATTTTTATTTATTGTATTTTTTGGTTTCTATCTTTAACAGAGAAATGATCTTGTTTTGGCTGCGCTATATGCCGCCGGGTGCTGCAACCTCAGGCAGGCTGTGTGATACTGCGTTATACTGAGCGATTAACTTGTCCCAATCCCGAAGGTCTGATGTTGATAGAGGCCAGACCAGACCAGGTGGTGATACCACTCTCCAATTAATCTTTTGCTTCATCTTCAAACCTCCATTGTCGTCCACAAGGGCAGTGCCCATCATTCACTGCACTCTTTTCCCCAGACAAGCAACGTTTCCGTCCTGTCGTGTGTCGCTGTCGTCACGCGTAGGGTATGCACAGCCCTCTCCATGGTACACACATCAATCAATCAGTACAATACTCGGAAATTCCCCCCTTTCGGTCCAAAAAATCCCAGACCCAGCTCTCTGGAAAAGTGGCTTTTTTGTGGCTGGCTTTCGTTCTCCCCCAGTCAAGTTGAGTGTGAATCCCGTTCGACAATTAAACTTTTGGAAACGGGAGGCTCTAACTGGACGGATTACGTTCCCCAAGTCCCAGCCCTACGATGATGTTCGCTAACCCCTGCCATTAGGGGTTTCTGGAGCAGAAAACGGAAATACCGTACTGCGGCGTAAAGAAGAAGAAGAAGAGATCTGACTCAGCTCTCTGGGTGATCTGATTTCCTTTTTCCCGATCTTTGGGAAATTTAGCGTCGTTGTCAAGGTATCGAGATATGTACACAGCAGCAAATACGTGCGCAAGTGCGGTGAGCATACCTAGCCAACAAAGCGATGCGTTTGCACCATTTCAATCTAAACTGAAGCAAACCAACCCTCAGGAGGTGTGATCACAAATTGATGATGATGCATTGCGATCAGATCACTGATCGATACCTAATACCTTGACCGCCTCAACATTTTTGCTTTTTGCTCGGTAGTTGCTGTTCAGCTCTCATCAGACTGACACTGACATATGTTGGTGATTTCCCTAATCGGAACCGCTGCCAAGCTGCGACATTATCAAAACACCAAAACAAAG